TATTTCTATTTTTAATTTTTTGAGAAATCTCCATACTGTTTTCCATAGTGACTGCACCAGTTTGCATTCCCACCAGCAGTGTATGAGGGTTCCTTTTTCTCCACAGCCTCTCCAACGTTTGTCTCTTTTTGTTTTGGATATTTTTGCCATTCTAACAGGTATAAGGTGATATCTTAGTGTAGTTTTGATTTGCATTTCCCTGATGATTAGTGGGGATGAGCATCTTTTCATGTGCCTATTGGCCATCGGTTTATCTTCTTTGGAGAAATGTCTGTTCATGTCCCCTGCCCATTTTTTCATTGGGTTGTTTGATCTTTTCTTGTTGAGCTGTGTGAGTTCTTTACATATTATGGAGACTAACCCTTTGTTGGATAAATAACTTGTAAATATTTTTTCCCAACTAGTGGGTTGTTTTCTTGTTTCAATCCTGTTTTCTCTTGCCTTGAAGAAGCTCTTTAGTCTGATGAAGTCCCATTTGTTTATTCTTTCTATTGTTTCCCTCATCTGAGGAGTTATCATGTCTGAGAAGATTCTTTTGAAACTGATGTCAAAGAGTGTACTGCCTGTATTCTCTTCTAGAAGACTTATTGTTTCAGGTCTAATATTTAGGTCTTGGATTCATTTTGAGTTTATTTTTGTGAATGGTGAAAAAGAATGGTCAATTTTCATTCTTTTACATGTGGCTGTCCCGTTTTCCCAGCACCATTTGTTGAAGAGACTTTCTTTTCTCCATTGTAGGCCCTCAGCTCCTTTGTCAAAGATTAGCTGTCCATAGACGTGTGGTTTTATTTCTGGGCTTTCAATTCTGTTCCATTGATCTGTGCACCTGTTTTTGTACTAGCACCATGCTGTTTTGATTACTGTAGCTTTGTAGTATGTTTTCAAGTCAGGGATTGTGATGCCTCCAGCTTTGTTCTTTTTTCTCAGGATTGCTTTAGCAATTCGGGGTCTTTTGTTGCCCCATATGAATTTTAGGATTCTTTGTTCAATTTCTGTAAAGAATGTTATTGGGATTCTGTTTGGGATAGTGTTGAATCTGTAGATTGCTTTAGGTAGAATGGAATTTTAACTATGTTTATTCTTCCAATCCATGTGCATGGAATGTCTTAAGAGTGTTAATTTTTAACACGTCTAATTGGATTTTTGAATCCATAATAAACTAGAGTCCTCCAAAGTTAGGCTTTGTAGAGAGGGAATGAGTTTTCTAACTTCTTTAAGATTCTATTAATATATTAAGATCTAGGTCAGGTGAGTTTGAATGTCAAGGGTTCTGTAACCCAGAAGTGAAGGTAATTTTCTGCTATGCAGGAAGGGAGGATAGTCTTTCCTTTACGAACTTGGTGGAATGAAGGGAGGGGAGGTGAGTGAGAGATAAGCCAAGAAGTTAGACTTAGAGGGTGGTGGAGTGTGGCTGTCGAGCATGTGGGAGAAGCTCCACAGTAGACTCAGAGCTATGTCCACTATAGTGTGGGAAAACTAGTGTAGCATTGGTGGGGAGAGGTGGGTAGTTAGTTGAGCCTAAGTCAGGGCTGCTATCTCCCGTGGCCTATATGCGGTGGTCAAGGGATCTTGAATCTCTGTATCCTGTTGGATGATGGAGGAGGGAGTGGAATGTGGATGTGCTGAAAGAATTTGTGGGGCTGGGGAAGTCAGAAGTGGATGTAAGGGTATGGTAATTTTATGAATGGAGGCAGATGGCCGGGTCCATAGACCTCATGCTGGAACAGACAGATAGATTAGCCACACTTCAGGAAAAGCAGGGCTTTGGACAGCAATCCAGCAGCAGAGATCAATGGTGGACGAGAGGATGGATTAACCTGCTTTTGACATCTCGAGGACCCCTCCTGCACCACCGTGAAGTCAAGTAAGCCCTACGACAAAGTCAGAGGCTGTGTTGGTAGAAGCAGGGAAAAGGAAAGACTCTCTGAAAGACAAAGTATTTACCTAAAAGATGACTATCCCAAAGAATTTAAAATCTCTAAGAGGCTGAAATATTGATGTGATATTCTCTGCAACTCATTCTTTATCAGCTTCTCCAGTATTCAATGGGAGTTTATAAAAAGGAGAAATCAGTTCTGGAAATAACAGAGCTATATTTCCTTTGCAGGTTTAAGAAGTTATGTGTACATTTTCATCCCTCCTGCACATGAGTTCTAACAACCCTCCACTTTGGAGTATACTCTTTCTTGGCAGCTAGACAGTTGATACAGAAACAGGAGTCTTTATGTCTGTGGGTCCACACATAATGCCTAACTTTAGATCTTTCAACTTTCTCTTAGACTCAGGAATTTTTCAGTGATAAGGGTTGGTCATCTTTCTAGTGTTTTGGTCCATGGGTTAACTATTCATCCACATTTATTCATCAACAAGTATTTACTGAACTCCATCAAGGTATCAGAAAAACATCCCTGCTCTCAGGGAGCTTACTCTCTAGGGGTGAGAGACAGTGATAAATAAGAAAGAAAAGTAAATACACCTCCAGGGTCCAAGATTAGAACGTATGTTCCATCTGTGTTTCTGACTCTTGGTGGAGTCGTGCCTGTAAGCAAGCAGCCTTTCCCCAAGGTTCCAGCTGTCCCCTGGCAGCTGCTCGGCCTCCGAGGGACCCACTGGAGCAGCCCTAAACTGCTCCAATCTTCTCTGTCACTGTCTTCCTCTTTTCTTTCAGAAAGGATTCTAAGTAAGAATTGAACGTCCGTGTAGACTCCCCAGCCAGGAATGTCACATGGGGATTTCTTTGACTTCAATTTAGTGAAGTCACATAATGCCTTGTAATCACACAAATCAGCAATTCTGCTGCCTGGCTCACGAGCATGGCAAAGACCCAGGCTGGGGATCTGCTCCAGCAGCAAATGAGCCTTTCTGCTTAGAAGGCAGGAAGGCCGAAGACAGGCAAGTGATTAGTTATTTTAATATTTTGTCCCTGTTGCATATTAATACATTTACTTATATAATTTAAAATGAATCTTTTTCTAATCTTAGTTTAGTCAATCTCTTTCTCCTGCCCTCACATATTTATTTGTGTATTTGTGTTAATAAGCACCTATATATAAAACATATGTAAATAAATATGTAAATATATATTCAGTTAATTTCCTCAACAAATTTGGAATGAGGTCAGGTATATAAATCAGTAAGAAAACAAATTTAAAAGCTTAATAATCTTAATTAGATAAGAGATGTTCTAATTCTGATAAAAGCAAATCCATCCAACATGAAGATTTCTCTTTTTGCTTTGAACTGTATCATTTTTCTTTAGAGCCTGTTTTTTCCCAGAGAGTAATGTGGACACTTCCCCCTGTAGCTCCCTGAATGTCTAGGGCTATAAATGGTTAGAATTCTTTAAAGGGGAACATGTTTAATTTCGCCTATATATTGAACCCTGTACTTTAAAGTATTTATTAGAAAACTTCACCTTAATAAAATATGCAGAAATCTTTCATCCGAGTTGAATTTTCTATAATTTCACATGAAATTATTTTTTTCAATTAAAAAAATTGTTTTCTTCTCCCAAAGCCCCAGTGCATAGTTGTGTATTCTAGTTGAAGTCCTTCTAGATCTGCCATGTGAGCCTCTGCCACAGCATGGCTACTGACAGACAGGTGAGTGTGGTTCCGCAACTTGGAAGCAAACTCGGGCTGCCAAAATGGAGTGCACTGAAGTTTAACCACTAGACCATCAGGGCTGGCTCACGTGGACTTCTTTTTAATTTAGCTTAGTGAGCATCGCTTTTGAAGGCTGATCACCTAAATCAACAATTTGGAGACTTGGTTTTTTTATTATAAAATATTTCAAGGATACAGAAGAGTATGGGAAATTATATGAGGAAGATACATGCATCTACTGCCCAGCTTTGTGAAATCTTAACCACTCACCATATTTACATCAGATTTTTAAAAAAGAAGACATTATAGACATACATGAATATTTATGTGCTCCTCCTCAAATTCACTCCCCTTCTTCTGAATCCTTTCTAAAAGTTATTCACTATCTCAAAGTTAATGTTCATTATTCCCTGGAATGTTTTTGTACTTTTATTACATCCATATGTAAATATAAACAACAAAAATATTGTTTAATAAATTGAAAATTTATATAAATATTATACTATAGGAATCTTTTGCAAGCTGCTTTTTTGTTATATTTTTAAAATGTATCCATATTGATAAATGTAGTGTTTTTCATTTATTATAACTGCTATAAAATGTTCCAATGAATGGATAGCTATACCACAATTTATTAATTTATTGTCCTGTTGATGGACATTTCAAATATGTCTCTTTTTTACATTTAAAAACGACGATACAAAGAACATTTTTGTACATGTCTCTGTTATGCACATGTCCTCAGTATTCTTAAGTGCAGGTCATTGCTCCATTCAAAATGACCTTCTCTACCCTATTCTGTCCTGGATTCCTGCATCTACTCCATTCTCTGATCCCTTCCTGACGTGGGTGATAACAACTCTGCTACTACTAGCCCTGGGTTACTTTTTATGCCTGCAGGTTCTCTTATATCCATTACTCTGTAAGAAATCCCTTCACAAAAAGGATGGTGACTGATCCGAGGTATTCCTTCCAGGAAGGTTTGCTTTTGTTTCCGTCGTGCATCCAGCCTAGATCACATTAGTGTTAATTTCTTAAGTTAGGACCTCTCAGGTCATATGGTAGTGTACATTCAAATTTTAAAATTGTGTATGGCAAAGACTCGGTGTTACAAATTCTCAGAGGAGATAATTTTTTACCCAGGGCCCATACAAAATAAACCATGTATATATCCCAGTGCTGATGGATGGGTCTATTTTTTCCCAAAGGGCTTTTTTTATTTTGAGGGAGATTGGCCCTGAGCTAACATGTTGCCAATCTTCCTTATTTTTCCTCCCCAAAGCCCAGTACATAGTTGTATATCCTAGTTGTAGGTCATTCTAGTTCTTCTATGTGGGATGCCGCCACAGCATGGCCTGATGAGCAGTGCACAGGTCCACGCCCAGGATCCAAAATGGCGACCCTGGGCTGCTGAAGAAGAGTGTGGGAAATTAACCACTCAGCTGCTGGGCCGGCCCCAGGATGGGTTTATTTTATTCCACCCTTTCACTAAAGGTAGAAGCTTCTAGAACATGAGCACTGAATGTGCCTGTGTACATATGTGTATGTGTAAGTATGTGTGTGTGTGTATGTGTGTTGTGGTGTTTAGTGGGGTGAGGGGATGGCTGGGTCTCAGTTCTGACTTCCAGCTTCCCTCAAGCCAAAGACCTCTTGTCCTTTTCCCTTGTGGTCATGAAGATTCAAGTCTCTGTGTTTATAGGGACTGGAGGAGTTCCCCAGATGCCAGACTGACAGTTCACATAACACGATTCTAGTCTTCAGTTCTCTTTTCATTTTTGGCCCCTAGGGATTTACCTTACTTTTTTGCGAATGCATCTGTGCTTTTCAAAGCATATTTGTTATATCTTACATGACATTTCTAGTTATTTTGGGCCACATTTCTGGTTGTTTGTTTGTACATCTTCAATTTTACTAGCTATTGCCAAAATCGTTCTCCAAATAGTAGCACCAATTTGCACTCCCACAACAGTGCCTGTTGCGTCATGTCCTCACCAACACCTGGTAATGAGAGAATGGCGTCAAAAAAAAGACTCAATAATAAAGTATTCTCAGATATGAAAAATTTTTGTCAAATGAGTTATTACAAAATGGTATCTCACTGTTTGTCAATGTGCATTTCCTTGATTATTCATGATATTCACTATCTTTTTAGAAAAACATATTAGACATTTTTGTCCCCTCTTCAGGGAATTGGTTTTTATATTTTCCGTTCATTCCTGCCCCCCTCTATTGAATTTTAGTTCATTTTTCATTAATTTGTGGTCTTTTAAAATGTATATTCTCATGCTACTCCTTTGTGGTTTATTTTTGTCACAAATACTTTTCCCCAACTTGTGGCTTATCTTTCCACTTTGCTTAGAGTAAATAGACTTTGTTTTAGTACTTTATTTGTGGAGTTTCATTAATTCTTTTCTTCTTAAGATGTCTTAAATTCTTCATCTTTAAATGCTTAAAAAGTGCTTCTGATCTTTGTAAAGATAAAAAGCCCATTTTGCCCTGGTAGTAATTATGAAAATGTGCTATTAACCTCTAACTGTATAACTGTACTCCTTTTTTTCCCCAAAAGTGATGCTCTTTCTGTTCATCTTTTAAAATTATAAGTTGTTATGCGCAAATATTCCCATGTTTCAGTGCTTTTAACTGTTCAATAGATGGTGCAATACTTACCCTCACAGGTAGAGACTATGATAAATTTTAGTCTAAGATTTAGTTTTTGGACTTTCAATAACGACTACATCCTCTCCACATGCTTCCCTGAATGAAATGGTATAAGAAAAAGATAATTCATTATGATTATTGCTAATAATTGCCGATACATATTAGAAATCATTCATGACATTTATTTTTATTCTTAATTAATAAGTAGTGGAAATGAAAGCAAACTTAGACAATAGAGAAAAGTGGAAAAACATTATCTGTAACCTCATTCTCTGATCACAATTATTATTAAAATTTTGTTGTTTTTCCTCTCAGATTTCTTCTCTATGCATCAGATTCCCCCTGACATAGATGTAATGAGACTGTATATACAATTTTATATTCTGCCTTTTTAACTTACTTGTATATCATAAGTGTCTATTTGTATTATGACATAACACACTTTCTATGTTAGAAGGGACCTGAGGCAGTTTAAGGGATAATTTCAAGAGCAAACATTTAAAGATACAGAGAAGAGCCCGTTTGATAGGAGCAGATTCTCCCAGGCACCTGTCAGATAGATTACAGCACTTGGACTATGAGTTTAAGTTTGACATTTCTCTTAGCTGAGGTGAAATGGGTAGCTTGTTGGTGTTATGTGTTTCTGAGCCTTTTTCAAGTACTTTCCAATGGGAGTTCTGTGTTAGAAAATGGAATCCCACATAGTGGCAAAGATCAGATTTAGATACTGCCTTCCCACCTGAGCCTACTGTTTCCATAGGCTTTGCCTCAAGAACAGAGAGGAAGATAGTTATTATATGAAGCCAGTAAATATAAGATCAGAGTTCCAGGCTTAAAATTATATTTCTAGGTGAGATTTTTGGCTTGTGTTATATGCATAGGAAATTGACATGAAGCAAATAGATTGGAATTCTACTGAAATTTTGAGGGAATTTTTTTGCCAAAGAAACAAGGCATCTGTCTTACGAAACTCCTTGTAAGGAGCCTGAACAACTCCCCCACTTCCTCCTCCATCATCTAAACCGGCAGGAAACAGGCTCCAGACCGTGCAGCTCCCCAAGCGGGCACTGTTCTCGATGGACATCTCGGAGGTGGTCTTGGAGGAAAACGAGCAAAGAAGCAACTCCCAGCAGGTAAAGTCAGAGGCCACGTGATGGTGGATAAGGGAGAAGAAAGATTCTCCCGGAGAACAGAATCAGTGCTTCCAGATGGGTTAACCACGGACCTTTCTATATCGCCCGAGAAGCGGTAGATGCCTTTCTTCCTTTTGCTTTTGGAAAGAGTCCAAGGCATTTGATTGTGAATAAACTCAGGAGCCTCAGTTTTTAGTACGTTCAGTTGGGAAAACATCCAATATTAAATCCATTACTAAAAAGTATCAAATGCTTTCTGTCCTCTAGTGGTTGCCATTATATAGAGACAGTAACATGGCATTATTTTTTGTTCTTTAATCCTATCCCTTGAGTATTTACTGACCTGAAATAATCATTGCTTACTCTCTTTCAACTTCACACAATCCAAATTCACTTGTAAACATTAAACTTATATGCTTAAATGTCAACATATAATTTACTTCCTTTACTTGAGAATAACTTTTACCACTTTCTCTGTCTATTGCAATCCTATTTACAGAACAGCATATACAGCATGTTGTCTGTAATTTCTGTTATGTGTATGCATCTCATCCCCCAGATGACTAAGCTCTTGGAAGGCAGAGATGTTTTCCTTGCTGATCTGATCATATTCTTAAGAAAAACGTATAAAGTTTTCCCTTATTGAGAGTCTGATGCATTTTCTTAATATTTATGGAAATCCCTTCCTATGATTAATGCATATATATGTTCTTTTGGAAACAGAACTCCTGGTGACTTAAGAATACTAACATAACAACTTAAAGAAAGCCTGCATTAGATCTTCAATGATCCTGAGCGGTGGGTGCACTCTTGTATTCTGAGAACAAAAATTGGAAAAATTCTGGTGTTGTGTCTGTTGTTCATGCTTTATAATGTCACCACTAAAAACTGGTAGACTTGTGTCATTCAATTCACTATGCAAAGCCTCAGGAATTAGGTGGGAACCCACAACTTGATGATTGATGGTGGTGGGATGAGTGGAAAAGATGCCTTATATTTCTTATAGGTATTTTGAGTACTCTTTAATACCTTTTAGATTAGCAAATAATCAAAATATCCTAAAAAGATGGTGCTAAATTTTTTTCCATCAATTTAATCTGGGTGAAATAACGATCTGTTAGTATATGCTCAGTATGAATGCTGGATGTTCTTTCCCTCATGTTGGATCCTTTTCAGGGAAGGAATCACCTCTTTTAGAAAACCTAGAGTTCCTAGGCTTTATATCATGATTCAGTGGACCCACATGGAAGAGATTGAAGTAATAAATGTACTTGGAATTTTTATTTAAAAATTCTTAAAAAATTCTTCTTGCATGTTTCATAATTGCATGTTCTAGAGTCCATGGTCTCTTTTTATCAATTTTGGGTTTAATATGGTATTTTGTGACAACTATATCTGGAAAAGATTTACTTATCTTAGAGATGGTTTCTAAAAAGGCCACTTAGCTGCTGGTGACCTTTGAAAATGGGAGACTTCTACTCCTTATAAGATTGTCATTGGAAAATTGCTTCCTTACTGTTCATTCTCGGGTAAGAGCTCTATCATGTGATTTTTCCCAGGTAAATAGTGTTATGTCTCATCTATGACAACATCTCTTTTCCTTTGTTATGGAGAAGGGATATACGTATGCTCAGAACGTAACCACCTGATAGTGGGTGGAAGAGCCACTAGAAACTGCTCCTGCTTCCAGAAAGCAGTCTGAGAGAAGACTTTCAATTGTCAGATGCAGATAAGCTCAGGCTGTTGAACCGTGTTGTCCTGAAAGCTTCACAGCCACAAGTATTCCTTGGGGAGGTTAGCTCTGCTTTAAAAGATTCAGGATGAGTTGAAAACAACAAAAATACAACACTCAAATCCTGTAATAACAATAGAGTTGCAGGAGGTATTGAATGAAACAGCTCAGATCAACAAGAAAGGCGTTAGATAATACCTGGATTTGTTTTTCTATAATAACTTGCCTTTTACGACTATCAGGACTATTATTATATTTGGCTGTATTAACAAAGTGTCTGCTTTCATTTATGAAAGAACCACTGTGTAGGGAAAAGGCCCTGGTTTCTCTCTTAATAGTTCCCTTGAGAAGCATGCAATTTTATAAATAATTCAGTCATCATTGCTCTTTTGGGGGTAACATATGCTAATTGTAGGTAAAATATATGAGCAAGTACATAATTTTTTGAGGGCTGACTTTAAAACCTAATTCTTTAAAGTGGATCAAGTTGGCTAACAATAATAGTACCTGGGATTCAATAGCGTATCTTGCCAGTTTCTGCATTTGCTTAGTCTTCACCTTTATAGATGTCCTGACAGGTATGCTGAGACAAGCAAACCAGTAATTTGTTTAGGGTATAGAGCAATGGATTGTATTCAAAACCCCGAAGGCCTAAAGAGGACTTCACCCTGTCAACAGCTGAAATTCACCACACTGCAGTCAGCAGCTTCTGAGGCCTATGCCTCCCCTGAGACTGTAGTCCTCAACCTTGGCTACGAATCAGAATCATCTGGGGGCCTTTTGAAAAACACTATTACCTGGGCCTTTCCCAGAGCAATTCTGAGTGAACTGGGCTAAGGTGAGGGCTCAAAGTGAGTATTTTTTAAAAGTTGCTCAGATTTCTAATCTGTGATTAGGATGAAGAACCACTACCCTATCGCCATGAACACATTACTCAGTGTGTGCGGGGAAGCTGACAATAGCATATTCTGGTCATAACAATATATGACACAGAATCCACATGCCTTAGATCAAGCAGAGCCTTGTGTGCATTTGGGGGGAGTTGTGAGTTTGTGTGTTCTTCTTTCACTTAATGCCCACCTTGGATATAACTGCTTTATTCTGTGAGCAAGAGCTTTCTCATGTTTAGCAGGAAGAAATTGGCAATGTATTTTACAGATAATCGTTGCTTCTCACATCCCTACAACATACCACTGGCAGAAAAACAATGCCATCAAATGAATGAGCCAATACTTGAAATGATGTTTTTAGAGCTGTAACACGGTGGCTGGGCAAGCTACCTTGTCCTGGTAAAGTTATCTTAATCTGGGCTCCCACTGCTTCCTACTGCAACTTATTCTAGAACAGCTGTAGATGATGCTGTCCCTGCCTAATGTTTGTGATCCAGCAAAGCTGCTCTGCAGAAAGTTCCTGAGGGCATATCCCCACCACGCTAACACGAAGGTAGAATACTCTTTTTAACAGGAAAGGAGACCATGTTACCATTCTACAGAAAAATTTGGCAGTAATTCCTCATTGCCTTCAGGTGCTATAAGGCATTTATTGTCTTGTCCTTCTCACCTGGCCAGATTTAACATCCCTCCATTCTCCCACCACCCCCGCCCTCCATTCTTCCTTCATACATACAAAGTTGAAATGGGGAATATAATTGCTCACTTCCTGGGGTTGTGAGCATCACATTAGATTCCTGAAAAGTATTTCGTATCGTGCCTAGAATATAATGAGTTCAATACAAGATTAAACACACAAGTACACACACAGAGAAGAATAAACAATAGCAACAACAAATCTATTTCTGTCATCGTGAAGCAGTTGTCTGCTTCTTCCTTCACATTCTGGTAGCATCATTTGCCTATCTGTATTATAAGGCTTATCATATTGTGTCTGCAATTGATGGTTTGCCAGTCGACTTAACAGCATAGGGCTTGAGGTACAATAGGTACATTATTAATGTTTCATGAAATCAAGCTGTCTATGCTCTCTCACATGTTCAGACGCTCAAAGATTCATTTAATGAATGACAGAATGGTTCCCTTTATAACCAAGACTGGGTAAGAACTGTAAATACAGTTCACAAAGTGCTGCTGAATGGACCATAGATGGTTCAAAACTTTGAACTTTAGCTTTCTAAGACCCTCCTCCATAAAATTAATCTCTAACTATATTTAAAATGACCACAGAAAAGTTTAAAGATTGGAAAATCACTAAAATGAGTCTTTCTTAGCACTGTAGTTGAAATTCACTTGCTAAATCTATCTCATTGAAAAGGAATAAATGATCAAGGCACGTCTGTTTTGCTTTTTCTCTAACAGGGCCAATAGTGTAAGTAGGTCAGCACTGACTGTGGTTGCCAGAGTTGGATATGATAGATTTTTATGGTGTAGCTGTTAGCTTTCTTTTTATGAAAATAGACATGCTAGAGGAAGATTAGTCATTCACACTGAATTTTCAAAGTCCAGCTTGGTAAATCAGAATAAATTATTGTCTTCGTCTGAGCTGTCTGTGAACAAATTAGTGAATGTGCATCTGCCTGCTCTTCTGGGAGCCTGGTGCTTTCATGGTGTTCTATAACAAATTCCCAAACCCCAGGGCTTATATCCTTGGGCCCAATCAGGTGAAAGGGTGGAACTAAAGAGTTCTTATCACATTCATTCAGTAAGTGTCTGTTGAATTCCCACCACATGCTGGACAATTTGACTGGTTTAGCAAAAGGACTAATTGAGAATTTATGGCACTATGGCAAAGGGAGAGCTGAGCTCTAGGGGACAGAGTGGCCTTATTTGGCACTTCTTGCATTTCAGCATGTGATCACAGCTCACGCCATTCACTGAGAGCACCACAAGCCCTGAGGCTCCTCAGCTCTTTCATTTACTGGTCTTACTTGTCTCCTTCCTTCTTCCCTTCCGTCCTTCCTTTGTAGTTACTTGTCTGTCTGTCCTCAGTCTTAGGCTCTTAGATTGTCAACTGTATGAGGGTAGGAATCATGTATATAGTGCTCTCCATTTTATCCGGGCTAGGCAGAAATTGCATTCTAGTGTTATTCAGAATAGGGATAAGTTCTGTTTCCAGATGTGCAACTTGAAGCAGTTTCTTTTTCCTCCAACTGAGTGCTTCTTTACATTGATATACAGACTTATAGCATAAAAATAACATTTAAGGAAGGGGATCAGCCTGGGCCAAAAAGGGAGTTAGTAGATGGTTAGAGTTGACACTCCAGGCAATGTTTGGTACATGCAAATAATGGACACAGCAACATGAGAACGTTTGGAGAACATATAGAGCCTCAAAAATAGTGATCTAACCTTCGTTTGGTTAGAGGAAAAATAACCAGGTGAGTACATGGTTGCCTCATGGGCCTGGCTGGGTATAATCCTGACTCTTAGTGGGGGTGGCCAGGCATTTAGCTGCCAGGCCATCTGGGCAACCACAGCTGAGGATTTGAGCTGTACAATTGCAGTGAAGGTCTTTCAGAGGCTAGGCTGCTCAGTAAAAGAAAACCATCAATTTCTAAAAATACAAGGTTTACAACTAAACACACGCTTGGATTTATAGCATTGATGTCTGATGTACTCTGCTGTATATAATCATGTTGCAGCAGCTGATTTTATATCTGTATAGATAGATGTCTAGTAGATAGCAGCCACTTCATGGGCGAGCCTGTGACTGAAGAATGTCTCATTTTAAAAGAGTATTTGCTTTGGTAGTTCTTAGACCCCTAGAAGGGAGGTATTCCCAGGGTCCTCCTATCAAGATAAAATTTAATAAGTGATTATTGGAGTCCTAAAAGGCAACTGGAATGCTAGGAAGGGATATTAGCATCCTTCATATCAAGATTGGGTCTGTAGAGGCTCAACTAATTGCTTCTACTATGGAGTGGGACCAGGGCTCCAGAATTCTGGTCCAGTACAGTCTGGAGCCCAGCCCGCTGAGAAAAGGCATGCACTACGCCTTCTGAGACAGCCAGGGGCAAAGGCTGACAAGAAAATGTGATCTACTTCCCATTTTCAGACTGGAGTTCAGAGTCCACACTCAGATAGTTTCTCATGAGAGATGGACATTTACAGGG